AAAAAAAAAGATATGTGTCTAAAATGATAAAGTATTTAAGCCACTTATACGTCTGTTAAGTGGACAATGTATTGACAGAGCTAGAGGTAACTTACATTATCCATAACAACAATCTATGAATGAAGGCATACTATATAATAATTTATAGGCAACTCAAAATTTCATTTGGCTACTGGTTTCAGCCTTTTTTCTCTTTACTAACATGGCTAATATAGCATCAAAACTGACAGCAATTTCCTCACTCCTCTGTTAATTTTCAACGCCTGACAAGTAGCAAAAAATAAATAAGCCAAGAGTAGATTATACTTTAAAGCCAACAGAAAGATTCTGAAACTGAGAAACAAGCTCCACATGGAATGCATACCTCAACTATGTGGTAGTTCAAGGGGATCTTGTTCTTCCCTGGATAGCTCACTAACTGTGCAGCACTATAAAAAGTGTAATTTAAGTTTAATAAGTATACAAAGACACATGAAAAGTCAAATAAGCAGTTTCAAAAGCAATGTGTTTAGATAATAGCAAAGAAAAATCTTTTTTGAAATGTCCTAGATTTCAGTTACTTCATTTAACTATGGCATAAATTATTTTGTCTACCACAAGAAAAATCTTTAATGCATCCCAACTTTCTTGAAAGATCTAAGGAAGCACATTCAAATGTACTAACTTAAGGAAGTTTTAGGCCAGGTGCAGTGTGGCTCACGCTTGTAATTTCAGCACTTTGGGAGGCCGAGGCGGGGGGAATCACCTGAGGTTCGGAGTTCAAGATCAGCCTGACCAACATGGAAAAAACCCGTCTCTACTAAAAATACAAAATTAGCCAGGCATGGTGGCACATGCCTGTAATCCCAGCTACTCGGGAGACTGAGGCAGGAGAATGCTTAAACCTGGAAGGTGGAGGTTGCAGTGAGCCAAGATTGCGCCACTGCACTCCAGTCTGGGCAACAAGAGTGAAACTCCATTTCACAGAAAAAAAGAAGTTTTAACAGGGTAGATCACTCTCAAAATACTGTATTTTTTCTACCTTAAAATCTAAACCAAACTTTCCAAAGTTTAAGAAAATTTTATTTAAAAAAACATTCCAAAGCTTGGATGTCTAAATGCTAGAAAACAGAGCAAACCCATTGGTATCCAAACCCCAAAATAACTTGCCATTCAAGCTCTCCATAGCAGATGACAAATATCCACACCAAAAAACTGGCATTGTATGTTTATTACTATAAAGCACCTTGAAAAGTACTACATGAGGGTGAAGAGCCTCAAGAAAGTAAATCGTGTTTTTAGAAATTGGTCTTATCCAGACAGGGAGTTAGGAGAATAAGATTTTCTAACACTCTCAACATACACTTTGCTCTTACTGAATCATCAAAATTGCTGCTTTTTCTCCCTTTTAAAAGTACCATGAAAAGAATTTTACCAAGTCTTCCTTTCCTTCCAGTGGGACTTAATGATGCAGTGAAGATTCTCTTCTATTACAAATCTTTCCACTGAATGACTCCCTGGCATAACAGGACCCTGGAAAATAATCAAATGTGTACACATACAGGGCTAGGAAACAGATTCCTTTCTTTATTCAACAAATATTTGAGAGACTATTATGTTCCAGGCACTATACTGGGTGGTGAGGATTAAAGCTCTATATTTCAGTAAATTCCACTGTCATGTTCACTTATACCCCCAGAGTATCAGCTGTAGTGTTTCTTCTACTACATCTGATACCTACCACACAACCATTGCTCACTTTACACTCCAATTCTTATATGAAACAAACTAAATAATTTTGGGTATTACAAGCCTTACAGTTTATTTTTTAAACCAAGTAGATTATTTCCGTTAATATGGAGAGAGAGAAAATCCTATTCAAACACCATATAGCCATTAAAAAGTCATGCATGAATGGAAAGATGCCCATAATACACTGTCTAAGCTTAAAACATGTTTCCTACGTGGCATTGCTTATTTTATTCTTAAGTTATGGCATTATTTTATTCTTAAGCATATCCATAGCAAACAGGTTCAAAGAACAAAAAACAGACCTTTAATGGTGACTTTCAGATGATTTTAATCTTCTTTACAATTTCTATTTTTTTTTTAATAAACAACTTTTAAAAGGCCAGAACCACCAAAATCCTCTTCGTTTTGAGAGTAATAAGTATTTTATATATTTATACTCTTCCAGCAAGGGATGGATATGCACCTTACAGAGGTGATACCAATTAAATATAAATACAGGAGAAACAAATTTTGAGGTCCCATTCTAGTTTCCCTTGCATGAAAAAAATAATCACAAACATTAGCAGTCATAAATGTAAACCAGATTTTCAGTTAGATATACGTAACTAGATCATTACATAATTTCGACTTAAGTATTTGGTTACATATGGAACATAGCAAAGAGGGCCAGCAAGCTGCTAGTTTTGTATGTAACTGATTACCTGACAAATTTTTATTCTGAAATAGATTACATATATACTAAATTCCTACTGGTCATATGCACTTTACTACAGGACAGAAAAGAGAAGATAGGAGAAACTCAAATTTGACTTTAGGTGGTTATATTCATTTTTATGGCAATAGTTTTCAACTGGGGGCAATTTTGACCCATGGGGACATTTTACACTCTCTGGAGATATTTTTGGTTGTCACATCTAGCATGTCACAGTAGCATAGGAGAGTGCTACCGGCACCTGGACGGTAGAGGTCAGGTATACCACTGAGCATCTTACCCATACACAAAATAGTACCCAAAATGAAAATTATAAATATTCTTTATTGTATAATATACATTTGTAATAGTACAATGGCTGCTAGCAACTTGACTCTGAAATAATACGTATATTAAAAATGATAAAGTCAGCTTAGACTAACCTTTGGAATTTTTTAGTTAAAAACACTTTTAACATTTGTTTGTAAATAGCCATACAATATGAATAATCACAAGACAAGCTGTGTTGCCTAGAGATGGAGAATATCTAAAACTAGGTACTTTTCTTGAGAAACAACCTTATTAAGAATAATTATGGCCAGGTGCGGTGGCTCATGCCTGTAATCCCAGCACTTTGGGAAAACTTGGCGGGCAGATTGCTTGAGCCCAGGAGTTCAAGACCAGCCAAGGCAACATGGCGAAACTCCAACTCTACAAAAAATTAGCCAGGCGAGGTGATGCATGCCTGTGGTCCCGGCTACTCAGGAGGCTAAAGTGGAGGATCACTTGAGCACAGAAGGCGGAGGTTGCAGTGAGCTTAGATCTCACTTCTGCCTTTCAGTCTGGGCGACAGAATGAGGCTCCATTTCAAAAAAAAGAAAGAAAAATTGCTAGAATGACTGAGCATTCAACATGTGTCAGACACTGTTTTTGTGCTATGCATTTCACATGTTAATAATTTAAGCCTCATAATATGAGATATATACTACTATTATGAGATATATACTATTATTATTACCTTCAGGAAACAAAAGCACAGAGAGGCAAACAATTACCAAATGCACACAGCTAGTATTTGGCTAAACCAAGTTTAAAACACAAACAATGTAGCTCTCAAAACCTACATTCTTAGCCTGCAAACTGTGCTTGTCTCGCTAATCTATTTACACATGCCAAATATAATTTCTTGCATAATGAGGTGATATCATTCACTGAATTAAAAAGTTAACTTCATTGCTATTGACTTTCTTAGATAAAAAAACAACTCAAAATTAAAACATACTACAGGCATAATTTGAGCAGGATTAAACCACAAGCATAGTGCAACACAGATCGTATCTATGACTTTTAGTTGGTCACCTACCTCAGGATCATCTGTGTAATCAAACATTCTGAAGATGACCCTTGGCATTGGGTACACTGAATCTTCAGTGTGAGGAGGTGGTGTAAAAGGAGGCAGATTATGCTGCAGTGCTTCACACAGGATGCTGTCAAAGGCAAGATAAGGTCTTAGGATGTGCCGTTCCTGCCAGCGATCCTTTTTCAATTTCTGAATCTGGGCCCACAGGCAATCTAAATACTAAAGACAGATTAATTTTTAATCATTAATATAATTAACATTTTGACTAGACAAAATAAAAAAATTCGCTACCCTTGAAAATACAGGCTACAAAAGTAAGCTAACTTGTAATGTAAAATGGTACCAAAAAAGGTGCTAAGTTTTTGTTTTTATTTTAATTATTTTATAAAGTCTGTTTAGAATTGTCTGTTTTCACATTTTTCAAATTAAGCATTTAAATAAATATATGTCAACTCTGTAGTAGCTGGAATCCCACAGAACAAGGGAATATTTCAATTACATTCTATCATTTATTAAAAACCTACTGTATACCTAGAACTATGAGAAGGAGCTGACATGAAATGTGGGAACATAGCCAAGGGGTAAAATGGAATGGTCTGAGTATCTTACAGAGGTGGACTCTATTCAAGAGCTGTGTTTGTATCACAAGAGACTGAAATCAATTTACCTCTTCTTGTGGATGTGGTTTATCAGCAGTCCATACCTGTAACATGGGTACATGAGTCTTCTGGCGTCTTCTAAAGATAAAAGTGAAAATCTACATTTAGGCTTTTAAAAATATGAGATGCTCAGTCACCTTCACAGTTATTAAAATGCAAATTAAGGCAATAAAATAACATTTTGCCTACTGTAGTGGCAGATGTCAACTGTTTTGATAATGTACTGTGTGTCATCAAGACGCAGGTAAAGACACAGTGTCAAACATTGTTGACAAAGAGGTTAACTGGTATAATCTCTTTTAGAGAGTACAATCTCTTTGGAAGGTAATTTGACTAAATCTATCAAAGTTAAAATTGTTTAGAACCTTCAACCCAGCAATGCCATTTCTAAAAATTTATACCCCCATAAATGTATTTGCACATGTACACAAAGACATATACACAAAGATATTCACTGAAACATTGTTTATAATAGCAAAAGATTGAAAATAAGCTAAATGTCCACCAACAGGAGTGTAAAGAAATCATGGTACATTAGCCGAGTGTGGTGGCTCATGTCTGTAATCCCAGAACTTTGGGAGGAGGAGATGGGAGGGTCACCTGAGGTCGGGAGTTCCAGACCAGTGTGACCAACATGGAGAAATCCTGTCTCTACTAAAAACACAAAAATAATTAGCTGGGCCTGGTGGTGCATGTCTGTAATCCCAGCTGCTTGGGAGCTGAGGCAGGAGAATCTCTTGAACCTGGGAGGTGGAGATTGCAGAAAGTCAGGATCACACCACTGCACTACAGCCTGGGCAACAAGAGTAAAACTCCATCTCAAAAATAATAATAATAATAATGGTACATTAAAAAGTGAAATACCCTACAACTGTTAAAAAAGAATGAAGTAGAGCTCTGTATTTTTATGCAACAAATCCAAGTTACAGGAAGAAAGAAAAAGCAAATAAAGAACAGTGTATATATTGGAGTATCCATTGTATAAAAGAAGGAAGGATATGTATACACACACACAAGATTCTTAATTTTAAACTTCTTTTAACTTTACTTAGAACCAACTAAGTAGCTATTAACAGTTATCCAAAAAGGTACTCAAAAAAGAGAAAATGAAGGCTGGGTATGGTGGCTCACGCCTGTAATCCCAGTACTTTAGGAGGCCAAGGCAGGCAGATCACGAAGTCAAAAGACCGAGACCATCCTGGCTAACATGGTGAAACCCCATTTCTACTAAATATACAAAAATAAGCTGGGCATGGTGGCACGTGCCTGTAGTCCCAGCTACTCTGGAGGCTGAAACAGGAGAATCACCTGACCTGGGAGGCAGAGGCTGCAGTGAGCCAAGATCATGCCACTGCATTCCAGCCTGGTGACAGAGCAAGACTCCATTTCAAAAAAAAAAAAAAAAAAAAAAAAAAAAAAAAAAATAAAAAAAAAAAAAAAAAAAAAAAAAAGAGAGAAAATGAAACTTAACAACAAAATCCATCTGTAAAAACTTAAGGGCCACATGACCATTACCATGTTGCTGGATAATTAAGCATAAATTTACGAAAAAGTCTTCTTATTATTACTGTACCTAACAATATAAACCAAGCTTTTACATTGGCTTGGGAGAGATGGGTAATGAGAAGACAAGTAACTATTTTAATTGAAATGTGCCATATTACTTAAGAAGTACTGCCTGGATGAAGGACCATTGTTTTAAGAATTTGGTTTATGATTAATTTACATGAAATATATTGTATGTGCTAGGACAGTGGTTCTCTACTTGTGAAATGTATTAATAATACAGATGTCCAAACCTCTCCCTCAAACTGCATAATTTATTAGGTCTGGGGGTTGGAGTCTGAGTACTTTAAGTACCACAGGTAGTTCTTATCCACACTAATATCTGAGGAACTATTGTACTAGGGTGTTTTTTAATAAACATAAAGCAGCTTAAAAGAAGCTACATTACCAACTGTCCTTTGCACCGGCAAAAGTAAGCAAATATATTTGACTACTTTGAGGTCCCAGTGAGCTAAAACGGTAGGACAATAGGATTGCCTAGAAAATACCTTCAGAAACTCTACAGCTTTATTTTTGAGAAACTCAAATAACATCACTGATAGATAAAATATAAAACTTAATTAGATATCCTTTACCTAAGCAACAAAGAGTACTATGAGCTGTGCCCTTACTTAAGATAGCTTTCAGTGTTGGCAAAGATGCGGTCCATCTCTGCATCTTTCTTTTCGTACAACTCCTTTCCAACCCAGGGCAAAGATGACAGAAATGCATACACATACCAATCTCGCCGCACCTAAAGGATTTTTAAAAAGTTAAAGTTTAAAATATGCTTTAATTATATTCATTCACATTTTATTTATTCTTGAATGAAATCCTATGGAAACTAATAGGACTTAAGACATCTGGTTTATACAGAGCATTTCTAGGTATATTAGTTCTAATCTTACTAGATAGCATCATTTAAATTAACATACAGAAATCATGAGAACCCACCAGTGTGCCAGTCAACTTAATTTATAGATATTAAGAACTTAAAGTGTGATAGTCTGCTGTTATCTTTTCTTTATTGCTAATGGGTTATCAGTGAAAAATTCCTGGTACTGTATGAAGTACCAGGATTCAGCAACCCCTCAAGAACCCTTCAAGATTCAGCATGAGGGGTTCTCTTACCTGAGGCACATCTTCTTCCTGAGTTACACTTACAAAATTTTCAAACATAGCAACCATTGATGGGGCAGCAATCACGTGACAATTCACAAGATCAGATAAAAAACGAACCTGTTGGGGCAAACAATTTCTGCTATTAAATCTAAATGTTCTTTGTAATAATTACAAAATAAGCAATCTTGTAGAGCCTGAACTACTGGTCTGAAAAACTATAGCCCAAGGGCTGGATCTAGCCCACTATCTGTTTTTCTGCATACGTGGGATCTAAGAATGGTTTCTGCATTCTTAAATGCTTGAAAAAAAAAATCAAGACTATGACACATACAAATTACATGAAATTCGAGTGCCCAGAAGTAAACTTTTATTGGAACAGCCATGCTCATTCACTTACATATTGTCTATGGTTGCTTTTGTGCTACAATGGCAGAATTTAGAGGTTGTAACAAAGACTGTATTAAAGGACAGCAATCTGAGTTCATAGGTTTCTATGCTCTACTACATTAAGAATCTAGACTGTAAAAGATTCTAGCTACTTCAACCTAATCTCCTTTTCTGTTTGGCTGAGAATAATTTTCACTGAATTACAGACATGGAAATTACAGAAGAGATATATATTGGGTATGCTTAGTGTGCTATTGTTAAACACTACTAAAAGTCACTGTCAAGGGACCCATTCTAGTGGAATAAGCAAAATCTCAATAAGAAGGGATGACTCCTGCACTAAAAGGCAAATTAAAACTTTTCTAAGAACAGTGACAAAGGCATTTGGGGAAAGCATCATAAAAGAGGTAACAATTAGGCTAGGTCATACAGGACCACCAACGGTCCTAAGTAGTGAGCAAGGAGGGCATTGTAGACATAGAGGTTCAAAAACAAGGTGCATACACATGGCAATGTGTATGCAAGTTATTTGACATTGCTGGAGAGTGTATGGGAGACAAGAATAGAGAAACAGACTGGGGAAGCCCTAAACGATCAGGCTAAAGAGTCTGGACTTTAATCCTATAGCCTGATGGGTGTCCAAACTTTTTTGTCAGTAAAAAAGAATGTGATCACTTATCTTCAACACATATGTATTTATTTATGACATACACTGGATCACCATTAATCTATGTCTTAAGTATTAGTAAGGCTTAATTTCATTTCCACTTAAGATAAATAAGAGTTCTTAGTATTTACTTCCTGCAACCCAAGCAATCATCTTATGCACCAGGTTTTTAAGACCATTCACTGCAGATAATGAGAAGGAACTAAGGTTTTTTAAACCAGTAACCAACATGCGCAGAGCCTAGTTATAGGAAGACCAGTCTGGTGCACTGTAGAACACAAAGTGAAAGGCAGAGAATCTAGATGCAAAAAGATCAGTTAAGAGGCTATTAAGAACATATGGAAGAAGGCACAAACTAAGCTAGAGGCTCTGGAGACCAAGACAGGACAGACTTGAGAGAAATTTGGGAGACAGAATTGATGGGGACTGGGAACACCTATGGTACAAGAGGACAAAGGAAAGAAAAAAATTAATGCTCAGCTTTCTAGATGGGTTATTCAGTACGCAGTGGCCACTGTATGAGCTGGGGAGAGGTCAGAAAAAAGGAAGTATGAATGATGCTTTAATTTGGGCACTTCCTGGTAAGGTATCTGAAGGCTATGCAGTTAGTATCTGGAATACTGGACTGGAGCTCAGGAGAAAGGATGAAGTTGGAGGTACTGTTATAGATTTGGGGGTATCATTAAAATAAAGGTGGTTTATGAAGCTATGAAAGTGAATGAGAATGCTTCAGGAGAGCATGTTAAATTTGGTTGTTGCTCACCTTTTCCCTCTATCCCAACAGTAAGCCATAACATACCAACAAACTAACTTACCAAATATACGGCTTCATTATAATTGTTTGCTTTCAATGATTCTTTAAGTTGACGAATCATGGCTTCTACAAATTCTCCGCCAAAGTTGTAATTCCTGGCATTCAGTAGTCCAACTAATGTTGTATAAATTGTCAACTTCTCAGGTAACAGACGTGCACTGATTTGAGAACCCAGTATAACAAAAAAAACCCCCAAAACAAGGGCGTTATGTTAAGTTGCTGAATTTTATGTGAATCTTTTTATCTTTCCACTAACTTGGAACAGGATAACTTTTAGCTATGTCTTTAAAACTTCTTCAGAAAAAGCATGTCATTGAGAAATGTTACAGATGTAGCTCTGTAATTTTTCATTTTAATTCATTAGTTAATCTAAAGAGTTAAGAAAGTAAATCGTTTAATTGTGAAGTTATCATACTGAAATAAATAAAACTATGGCTACACCAGTTTTTCTTCAAGTGTGTTTAGTGGAACTGAATAGGATTTCCACAGAACATGGTTTCCATGGTAAAATGTCTCAGAAATCCTGGGTGAAACAAGCCTCTTTAATGCAGAGTCATTAACAGGGGTGTGTGTGGGGGGAAGCACTCAGTTTCTAAACTTAGCTAACCAAATGTCATGGAACTAGAATCCTACTTTGAGAAACACTATTCTAGTTGCTTGGAAAAGATGCACAATTAAAACGAGTTTCTTCTAAGTTCCTACCAGTTTAATTACTGAATTTTTAAAAAACGTACTCTGATATAGTTAACATTTGTCTACATCTCAGTTGCTTACTCCAAGTGTGTTGAGTTCATTCAAGTTATTTGAAAAGTATGGGAAAGGATTACAATAATAACCCTTTAGAAAAAGCAGTTTTTCCTAATTTAGGCAGGCTTTAGAATTAGCTCTTTAAAAAATAAATAAATAAATAAATAAAATAAAAAGCAAGTAAGAAATCATGATCATTCAGTGGGGAAGAGATTCTCTGACTTTTTGTTTTCCTCAAGTACCTAGCAGAACATGAGGGACAATTTAGGTCTTCCAAACAATACATGTGATGATGGTAACCGTGCTTCCTGAAACTCTCTCAAAACCAAAAATTAAAAAAGAACACTATGAAGCAATACAAGTTCAGCCTTAAACACGGCTTCCAACAGAGTTTAGGCATAAATACACCTCCATTTTAAAAAAGGCTTTCAGAAGATTTCCTTAGTAGTTTCTTAAAGTTACCTTCACTTGATCTAAACTAAAAGACTAAGAAGCGATAAACATCATTTTCGTCATTTAAAAACACCTCATACAATTTCATGAAATTACAAAGACTTCCATTTATCCAGAGGGTATGCCTATTAATAGTGGCTTCAAAAGCATCTTCAGTTTTCCAAGAAGGGCTATTACTTGAGTTACCAACTCCCAAATTTGGTACTACGAATTTTAAAACCTAAGTAAAACTCTATTTTATACATTTAAATGTATGTGCTTAAAAAATATATGTATCTGAATGAGAGAGTATTCTCTCTATAAAGTCAACTAAGGCTGTTGCGGTGGCTCATGCCTGTAATCCCAGCACTCTGGGGGGCTGAGGCAGGTGGATCACAAGGTCAGGAGTTTGAGACCAGCTTGGCCAATATGGTGAAACCCCGTCTCTACTAAAAATACAAAAATTAGCTAGGCGTGGTGGCACATGCCTGTAATCCCAGCTACTCAGGAGGCTGAGGCAGGAGAATTGCTTGAATCCGGCAGGTGGAGGTTGCAGTGAGCTGAGACTGCACCACCGCACTCCAGCCTGGTGACAGACATTCTGTCTCCAAAAAAAAAAAGTCAACTAAAGTGATTTTAAGGTTCTAAGAAACGACACATAAAGAAAATACTCAATTTTAGTTTTATCCCTAAGAAAAAGAGTTCACTATAGGGCCAAAGGTTGGCTCATTTGTAGAAATTTCCCCATAGAAGGAAAGCCAAGGGCATAGAGGACATAAACATATATTTTGAACATTTCCGAAAGCATTTAAGAGTAGATAATACATTATCACCTGGATTCACAAATCTTTTGCATACATACACTGTACAAAGAAGCCTTAAGATCTTGCTCTTGTAGTTAGGAAGATCAGCTTCCAAAACCCCAGCCAAGCCTTCTAGGTTGCTCTCCAAAGAGCAGGCACTCTGTAGAGGACATCACATTAAATATCTGTCAAGTACTCAGCAATATAAATTTATTTTTGAAACTCTATTTAAATGCAAATATATATATGTGTGTGTGTGTGTGTGTGTATATATATATATATATATAAATACTTTAAATCTTTGTAAAATAATTACCAATCTGTCCTTTTAATTGCTATTTTAGTGAACCAAAATAAAATTTTCTATATGATCATTAAAAAAGTTAAAGTCTTACATGCATACAGAGCTATAATGGGTTTAGTATAAATCAATTCAGATACTTATTGCTCTTTAGAAATCCATGAAAAGTCGATGAGTGAAATTTAAAAACAAAGCAGTCTATGACAGAATAAGTATTAGAAATGGGAGGACATTTTACCTCTTTTACTAATTTACTCTTACTCTGAACAAATTACCTCAAGTATTCAGGGCTCATTTAGTTCATGTATAAATTAAGGGGTCTATATCCTAGGTCCCTTCCAACGCTCATCTTCTATGAAAATTATTAATTACTAAATTACTAAAAATGATCAATTATCTGCATCCCAGGGGCTTCAACATTCATTCAATTTGGGCTATAGATGTATGGTAATAACAGCTTTGCCAAAACATACTTCGTTTTCAGCATCAAAAATTAATCAAAGCACAGTCAACCACATTCTTTTTATTTTGTCTTCTACTTACTCATCTGATTTTTTCTTTTTGTCAACCACATTCTTAACTCCATCACAGCCTATGCCTATTGTGTGACGTACCTTTTCTCCTACTTTGCATATTAAAGATTCCAAATGATCTTCAGTTTCATTTGCATCAGAGGTCTTTCTCCTTTTGTGAGGCTGCCCACCTATTTCAGCAACATAAAAAACTAACATTACGTGATAAATCTGTTATCACAAATTTTATTTAACCTTTTAAGGTTCTAATCTCTTTTCTACCAGGACTTATTTATTCATTTATTTATTTTTTTACAGAGTTAGAAGCTCTTTACAGACCCTCCATTTCTCAAACTAAGCTAACAGCCTCCATTCCCAGAGCCACTACATACAATAACTCCAGGAGGCATTATTTATGTTAAATTTTGTGTGAATGGTGCCCACGGAGCTATACAGTCAGCGGCCCTGTGCATTTCTGTGGACAGGCTGGGAAGCTGCCAACATGTTAAACACTAGGAGTTAGTACAACACTCATGTACTGCTACTCCCATTTTAACTTGAGTTGTTTACTGATCCTCAGTTGCTTGTTCTGGAACCTGCTAGTACCAGTAGTATTCATTAATAATGTAATTATTATGTAAATGACAAAATAAGGGTGCAAAACCAAGTTGAATGCTTTGGAAAGACTTGATCAGGGAAAAAAAAGCTGTTATAAAAGCTATAAAGAAGAAAGCTTCAAAAAATGGGAAAAAGGAGCATAAAACATTAGGATTTCTCACTTGCTTCATATGTTTCTAAGCGCTTATCTCAAGTCTTCAATTAACAGTTTCAGTTTTACATACCATGCAGCATGAGGGTACACTTTATCCTAAATAATGGGAATGACAGTATATATAAATTCAAAGAAACCTGAGCGCTTTATCAAATAATTGGTGGAAAAAAAGTACGTTTGACAATTCCTGCTTAACTAGCTTTTATTAACTGAATTACTGACACTGATTTAAAAATCGTATCATTCGAATATTAATACACATTTTTAAAAATCTACCATTCTAAAATTACCAAGCATCTGTCCTTTTGATTGCTAAACAATTCAAGTTGAATGAAGCTGTGCTAAAAATTAACCTCAAACACCTGTCTATTGTTAAGACCCTTGATCTCTTATCATTTTGTTTAAATCCTTAACACGCTCACCTAAGTCCTTTTGTGGAATATGTTAGGCTTAAAAAATTTAAATGATAGTGTTAAATATGGAGCCTGATGCTGCTGCTAAACAATTCTGAGTAGTCTAATTCAATTTTCAACTTCCACTGATTCAATTATTTGGTCGGCATATGGGTAAAAAAGCCAGAGTCTGTAACTGTGCTGGGAATTTGTATCAAAAATGAAAATCTGCAGCTGGATATAGGGTTACACAGTAGCAAGTTATGTAACTTCAATCTTCTTCAGACCTGAACAGCCAAAGGAATTAAATTATTTTTACAAAGTTCATAATCACTTACTTGCCTGTGGAACACTTGGCTTGAAATGCATGGTGCTTCTCATAAAACACAGCACCTGGCTATTCTAAGCTTGGAATGTTAATCTATCCAATGACTGAAATGATCTTCAGATATCATATGAACTGAAGCTGAATAAAACAAATCTATTACTATCCACATAGGATCTGAGGGGGTCGTTATAAAGGTTACAGGGTAAGGCACTCTGTGCTTCAACTTCCCAACCCATTAATTACCATTATAACCTGACTGAATGACCACTGACCATAATTTTGAAGGAATAATGCCACAAAAAGTATGATATGCATGCAGTGTGAAAGCTGAGATGTATTTATTTCTGGAGATATCTGCCTGTGTAAAGTTGCAGACATGTGCGGCACAGAGGTTCAGGGACCTTGATTCTTAAGTATACATCAAATCTAAGTCATAGGAACCATCGAGGTTCCATCACCCAAAGTGCCAACTTTCACAAAAAGGTCTTTTATTTCCAGGATTCATTTATTGAAAACACAATGCATAATTGACATATTTATACAAGCTGCCAGCCTGGACATTAAAATAGCCTTCTTCTAGAGCATTAGCTCTCAACAGGGTGTAGATTTTGCCCTTACTGGTCATCTGGCAATCCTTGGAGACATTTTTGGTAGTCACAACTAGGGGAAGCAGCTGGCATCTAGTGGGTAGGGGCCAGGGATGCTGCTAAATATCCCACGTTGCATAGGGCATCTCCCAAAACAAATAGTCTGGCCAAGAATGTCAATAGTGCTGATGTTGAGAAACCATATTCTAGAAAGCAGAGTTCTTCAGAACCAAATTCAGTGAGGTTGGGAGAATGCAGATGCTGAAAAACTAGCTGAATGAGAAGTTACTTTTCTTGTTTTTTCAATCTTATACACACTGCTCCCTTCTTTCCAGCTCATCTGTTTTGCCAACCCTTTATTCCAGCTCTACAGTCCTCCTAACTTAACTTTCCAGATGGCTTGTTGTAGTTTAGAATCATACCACAGCCTTTAAAGCAACGCTCCAAGTCCCTGTTAAAAGCTTGAAAAGAGGAAAATAATGCTGCGGGAAGAGAAGGTATGATTTGAGAAAAAAAAAAAACTAGAAAATACAGGTACACAGTCACATCTCTGAACTGCAAACCTCTCTTCATTTTGGCTAAATTAAAGGATAAAATTTGTCTGGAGAACGGAAGGAGGCAGAAAGTATTAAGAGGTAAGATATGTTCCACTCTCACCTGATAGCTGAGAGAATATAAAGGGGGGAAAACTACAGACACAACCTGAACTTAGGAACAGAAACATGATATTGAACTCAGAAGAGAACCTGGGTAAGGGAACAAGGAAATGAAATAAAACAATATGAATACAATTTTGGGAATTAGCTCAATGTTTTCATGTACCCTGAAGAAAACATATCTATGGTAGTTCCCAAAGCAAGAACAGACTTTTTATTAAAATTTAACTATGTCAAAGTTTTAAATTGTAAAGATATACATTACCATTTCACTCTGGAAGATTTGGCTAGTATAAAGAAGCATGTATAAAATCCATCTGAAAGGATCTTAATAAACCAAATAAATTTTCCCTACATAAGGCAATCCTAATTTTAAAAGAGTACACTGTAGATGTTGAGTCTTTATAATATCTCTACAAGATGTGACCCTCTGCTATCTCTATAATCTTATCTCCTACAACTTACCCCTCATTCACTATGCTCCAGCATCACTGGCCTCCCTGCTGTTCTGTGAACATGACAGGAACGCTATAGCTTTAGGGCGTTTGCACCAATGGTTCCCTTTGTTTGGATCACTGCTCTTCCCCATACAGCTATATGGCTGCTACCTTACCTCCTGCAAGTCTTTGATCAAATGCCATTCACACTAAGGCCTTCTCTACCCAACCTACATAAAACAGTAACTTCTCCCTCACAGAAATCTCTACCCTGTTTACCTGGTATTACTTTTCTCCATAGCATCTGTCACTATACAGTATACTTGACTGTCTTCTCTCTACTCTAGAGGGGAGGCTCTATCTTTATATTGTCCATGGCTGTATTGCAAGTAATTAGGACAGGGCTTGGCAGTTAAGCATTTGTTGAATAAATGATTTTATACATATATATTATATATATATATATACACACGACTTTCCATATGCTTGACTCTATAATGTATATTATATGCAATGATATATATATGTAAAATATACTATAAAGTATATATTGTATATAAATTTATATGTAATACATAAATATATTACATATTCTATTATAATATATTACATATATACACTCTCTATAAATAGAGTCAAGCATATGGAAAGTCAGCAGTGATAGACAGGAGCTGACAATTATCCAGGAATGCTCAGATGCATCTATTTAATTCTGACTAGCCTATTACAAAATAGCCTTCTATAATACTTAAGCTTCTAAGATTTCTTATTTTTTAGAAAATAGATGTTTAACTAAAAGGAAAGCATCCAAATTATCTGATTCAGATCACTGTGTAGGGTAAACTCCAGCTGACTGTTAACCAAATTGTGGCAATTTACAAAAATTTCAGATTTGCTGTGTTATCAAATATGAACTGTATCTGCCTCTCCCATACGAAAATACTCACCACATTAACCTTTGCTTAATGAATGCCTTGTTTTGCTTATTTGTCTTACTCTGAGGTTGTCTGGCAAGACACAAATGGACAGTGACTTAGCTGCCAGCTGGTGTTAAAAAGAAGCCAACTCCAAGAAAGTTATGTAAGTCTCCCAATAACCAAAGCAAAAGTTATTTTTCTACATATTTGCATTCCAATTCTCTAGGATGCCCGAAAGTGACATTTCCTCTCTCCTTAGGGATTCCCGATAAGGGAGAAAAAGCATAACAACAAAGAAAATGGAAAGGACAAAAGATTCAAGTTATCCAACCCCCAAGTAGTGACTTGGGAAACATATTCGCTTTTGATTAATCAATAACAAAGCATATGAAAATTGTATTTTCGGTGGGCGCAGTAGCTCACATCTGTAACCCCAGCACTTTGGGAAGCCAAGGCGGGTGGATCGCCCTGAGTTCAGGAGTTGAAGACCAGCCTGGGCAACGC